TCTCACCAGTCCCTGGTAACCTCTATGTATTTACCTGTTCTGGGGACCTCCTATAAATGGAATCACACAGTATTTGTCCTTCTGTGTCTGACTTATTTCACCTACCATCATGTTTCAAAGTTCATCTAAATTGTAGCATCTATCACAATTTCACTTCTTTATAAGGATGAATAATATTCCATTAAAGTTTTAGTAACTTTTTGATCTACATAAATTCAATAGTCTACATGTTCTCTTAAATATTATACAGCTTCAATAAAATTTTCCCATATCTTTCAACATAAAATCATGAGTGTAAATTAATTACCCAATTCAATTTTTGAATTGGTTTTACAGGCTGAATCTGCCAGGTCTAACATGATCCATCTGATTATGTTAAGAATCACAGAGATTTTACACACCAGGTAAACATAGATTATCCCAATTATTGTAAAATCCTAATTTGTACTTCATAAAAGTATTAAAATTGATGAATTGGCTTACTTTGTTCTCCCTATAGTCACTTCCCTCTTTTGGAAATGCATTTCTCCAATCAATAAGCATCTTAAACAATTTGAGGTTGCTGTGTGTTGAGGGATTTTTCAACTGGGAAGCAGAATCTAACTTACAAGGGGATTATGAATTTCCTTTACTTTAATCGATTTAACAGAGCTTTTTTTTAATAGTTGGTGGAACAAGAGGAAATCTCATTCCATGTGCTTCAAATGTGACTAGTTCAGCAGCCCACAACACCAGGACTCAGATGACATTAGATTTGAGTAGAAAGAAGAATTTATTCCTACTAAGAGTTTCTTTTTGGTTGCTTTTACACTTGCTAACTCTTTAAAACATTTTAATGTCTTCCAGTGTGCTCAAAGGCACTTGTCATCCTGTCTTTCAACACTCTGTTAGCATTCTATTTGCTTCTTTCTACCATATTGCCTCAGAATTCTGTATTCTTTCTATTCTAGGTAGGTTGCCAATGCATGTAAACATTTAAGCATTTGATTGGATTCTTCATTTCTCTCATAACTCCTCTTGTTCTGAAGTCAATGACCTGTCCTGATCCAAAAGTATTTATAGTCCAGCTCACTTTAAGCTTTAAACAAGCTTAATCAGGCCAATCTTTTGTTGATTTATTTATTAATTCATGCAAGAAGCAGTTGTTGAAAGACTTCTTTCTGTGTGTTAGACCACAAGGATACAAAAAATATAAGACTTGGTCCCTCTCCCCAGAGATTTTAACAATTCTAGTAAGTGGGCCAGGCATGTAAATAATTACATAAGAATGAAGTGCAGATAATGGCCCATACAAAGTGAATCAGATGCACAGAAAAAAATAAACAGAGGCTGTGTCTCAGGGCACCAAGCATGGTTCCTCAGAATGTGTGAAGAATATGGCATCACTAGAAAGAGAACAAAGAGAATGCATTTTAAATACTGGGGAAGGGAGGAATGTCGTCAAAAGAGCTTGGGAAAACCATGGGACATTCCGAGATCTGGGGGAAACCTGCATTACACTGGAAGTGATGAGGAGTCGAGTATATTCTGTTCACTACATGAATGGGAGGATCAGTCTTTCAGGGACCTTGGAGTCTTACAGCAGCAACTCCCAATCTTTAATATCTCGGCATTCACAATTATAAGGCACTCTGTGATTTTTTTAAAAATTACTTTTCTTACAGAAAGAACTGACTGGTCCAGAGGGCTAGCTAACCTAATCCTCGCCCAGTGAACACATACACATACACACACCCATAAACACATACACACACACACACACACACACACACACACACACACTCCTCCAAAGAATGAGAGAATCAATATCGTTTCACCTCTGAACCTACTCAGGTCACACCAGTTGGGATGCTTTACTAGATCATGTGAAGTCAATGAATGGATTTAATCTTGGGAAGAAAATGATCAGATTCTATTTTCTTTGGGCAGTCATTCACAGGATGAGGAAAGGATTTATAAAAGATATCTCAGAAGAAATGGCTTTTTTGTATGTTGATTGTACTAGGAAAGGAAAAAACCTAAAACAATAATAGAGGCCATAAAACAAAAATAGAAAATAATAGTCAGAGGGGAAATATCTAAAACTGTAGAAGTAGACAGTAAAAAAGGAGTTATAGATAGATTTCAAAGGCAACATGTTTGTCACTTTATTTATAGAGCAAAGTAAAACACTGGCTAGATTTAAGTAAGAATAATAAAGATATATTGGGGGAGGGATTAAATAACCAAGAAAAAATATATTACATAGGGAAGAAGTTATAAACTGTTTAGACAAATTTATAAAACTGTTTTTAGCCCTTACCTTTCTGAGCATAATTTTTCCTCTCAACCATTCCATTCTGCTTTATTAACCCCAAAGAGATTTTAGAAATTCATAATTCCATTATTTAAGTATTATCCACTCTTAGAAATGTTTAAGTGGGAAGAAACTGTCGGCACTGATTATGGGGAAATCTGACTCCATAAACCTGAACCCAGGAGAGGAACAAAATCTGGAAATGTAGCAAAGTAACAATGAAAAGGGAGTTTCAAAAATAGAAGCAAGAGTTGTACTCAGGATTTTTTTTAATCTTGTTTTCTCTAGAATAAAATGTTCTCCCTAATAAGCCCAGCAGAAGTGACTCTGAACAGACAGTAATTGAAAAATTACAAAACCTTTGAAAGGGCCTTCATTAAAGGCAAACTGTAGGTGACCACAGTAAGCAGCCATTCAATCCAATCACGGATGAAGACTAGCGGAAGGGTTAAGCATATATAGCCTGTAGGAAAATATAGCGCAGTGTGTATGGGTTTAAGAGAGCTGAATAACTTTAAAGAGAAGTAGAAAATGTCCTATTAAAGATGATTCAAGTAAAAATGAAGAAACAAACTTGCTACTACTTTCTTTCCAAATATGAGAAAACAAAAATTAAGATGTGTATGTGGGAGCCAGTATGTTACAGGCATCTGTATCAATGTGATATGACTCTTGCAAGTCAGAGGAGGAGAGAAGTCACAGTGGTAGCTGCTTATTAACAAAGCACTCTGTGGGGACACTATACTAGCCTGGTTCCCCAACATGAGCATCAAAGACAAAATGCTAAGGACAGTCCATGTGATCCTTACAGAATAACTAGAATAATGATATCACTGCATTTAAAGGAATAGCACCATAAACATTAGAGAAAACGTGTATAATGGAGATATAGTACCTATAAGAAATCCTAGGGAGAGATTTGAAAGACTAAGAAAAAGGGAAAGAGATTTCCCCCCTCAAGGTTTGTGCTATTGTGGGGGGGAAAGGAGTAGAGAATGAAAGCATTGCAGTCAAAGCTAAACAAAGGGTGATGAGACTGTCATGTATGCTCTCAGCCAGTTCATGAGTGTGCACTCAGGCTGGTCACATGAGAACTGGGTGGGTCATTTGCCCCAAAGGGGACCTACCTCATGAAATAACATCAGCCCTGAAGAAAGGGCAAGCCTTGATTCTACTTGACACTTAACCCCCCAAATTCTGCTCCCACTGAGCTTTATTTTCTTTCATGTGCTCATAGAAGGTCAAACTCCAGGCTTCAAAATGTGGTGCACTAATCAATTTCCCCTCCTCCAAAGTAGCTACTCTTCCCAAATCTCAGAAAATTAAACTAGACACAAATTCTCAAGGTTTCTCAAGGACAGACAGTCTTCTGGGAACTAGGGGGAAGAGAATGTTGGAATTCTGGCAAATCCTTACCCCAAGCTAAACAAGGCTTTTGAAATTTTGGAAATCAATAGTTCATGAGAATGTGTCATCTGAATAAGATATATGTATCAATAATATCAATAACAGCCTGCTGTTTGCTACAGCTTTTGTGTCCCACATTCCATGAACATTAGGTCATCTAGGGCAACCATACCCTGCAAGGCAGTCATTGGCAAAATTCCTTAATGAAAGATATTATGATTTACACAGTCATTGAGATCATTAACTTCAAATTTAACAATAATAATAATAATAATAATAAATTTTGAGTAACCTTATAAATAAATTTATGAAATTAGTAAAACCATATTGAATATCTATACATGTACTATATGTATATTCTTCCAAAAAAAATACTGGTGATATGATGAATTAGAGATATAGATGGCTAAGGAGTAGATTTACAGCAGTACATGAGTTTATACTTAAAGCAATGATTCTGTTAATGTTACATTCTAATGTTCAAATAATCAATATAAAGTTTGCTTTTTATTTTGTTTTAATGGATTCTATATATGTTGTCTTTATTTTTGTAATTTTATTTTAGATATAATTTTAATAATGTTAGAGTACTAGAATAAAACCAAAGCTTGCTGTAAAGTAATTAATACTTGTGATGTACTACAAAAAACACACAGAAATAATGAACTAAGATTAGCCATGGACATTAGGATTAGAGAAGAAATAGAGAGGCTGTGATAAAGACAGGAAGAAAGAATGAATATTACAAGAACAGTGATTTTATGCAGAAGGTACTGTGCTACCAGAGAGGAAACAAAACCTTCTTTGCAAAAGACAGATACCTATTTGTCCAGAATGTTTTGAGGAAGAAGGCATGGACATAGACTATGTGACTTCTCAGAGGTCTTTCTAACAATGCAATAAATACTCTTAAGAATAAAATGGATTCTGGCAACAAGATGAGAAGATACAGCTTTTGATATACAGGGGGAAAGGCCATAGCTGAATGCCTACGGACAAACACATTATTTTAAATATAATGCTACTTAATATGACTTCCTTTTTCACTAAAACCAGCAATGTATGTGACTTTTCAATTCCTAAATGCCTGTAGCTTTTGGTTTCTTAAAATGTCCCCATTTTTTTAACCATGAATAATATTCTGAGCTGTCCTTTATATTAAGAACACAGTTTTCCATTTTGTGATAGACAGGTATTTTTGTTAATATTATTTATATGTGTTCTATTTTAAACACCTACTATGGATGCGTGTGTTTATTTAGACATTTATTCATATCGAGCTATGTTATATTTTCAGTTGATTTCATAGGTGGACTTGATGCACACTCCTACTACCAGGATCATGTTCAGTTAAAGCCTGTTAACCTGTAAGTAAAGGTGTCATGAGATGGAAAATATTAATCCTTCTAACTTGGTCAAAACTAACCAATCCTGAAATAATTTGGACCTGCTACTACTAATCATTGGTTTAGTTTTCCACTCATATTTAAACACACCTTTCACATGTAACCCAACATCATCATTATTATTCATTCCAAAAAGGATTTGAAATAGGTAGCATGAATTATGTTTCTAAAATGATATACATATTTTTTTTAGTCAGTAGTTGATTGCCAAAGTGGAGAAAAGGGGATTATTTAGTCTACCAAAAAAAAAGAGAAATTAAATATGTGTCACATGGGCAGCATGACTGAGGGAAAAGAAGAGAAAAACTAGGTTAGAATCCAAACTCTGCCTGTGTGGTCTTAGGGGCCTTTCTTAATATCTCTGAGACTTGGTTTTCTCACCTATAATATGATTCTGTTGCCCAAGATCCCCCTTTCTGGGACCCAGAGCCAGTTCTTTGTTCATTAGGTGTTGCAAAGCCAATTATGAAACTGAAACTGAGCTTTATTTAGCAACTCAGTGGCCAGAGAATGGAAAAATGGGAACCTGGTAGTTCTCAGATCAATTTCTCATAGACTTGGGGCCAGAGATGTGTATAGAGGAGGACAGAAATGGAGGAGTGGTCTAGGCAGATAAGGGAATACCAGTGGTGGTCTTCTCAGAACCAGGATTTTGCCTCTTTTTAGTTCTTTTATGACACCTTCTGTAGTCATCAAGGTGATACTCAAGAGGTTTGAGGTCTCCTGGAGGCCAATTCCATGGCTGTCTTGGTCTAGAATGTTTTAACTGGATCCTTGTGGGGAGAGAACTATTAACCAAATGCCAAACTGTTCTCAGAGGTAAACAGAGTTATAGTGGGGTAGGGCTCTTCCCTCATGGGACCACTGTTGGATAGTGGTTTCATAGGGGAAGGACAGAGGATGGATTAAATGCAATAAGACATGTTTAGTCCATGAAAAATCCCTTATGATTGTGAATAGTACTCAAATATTTGATTAACTATCACTGGAGGACATGGAAGAAAGTCAACAACCACAACAAAAGCCATCTCACATGGACGTATTTAAATTGAGTATTAGGAAGAAATCATGGTGACCTGTTGATAAAATTCTAAAAAACAGGTACAGGGACTCCATTCCTAGAAAACTCTAAGTAGCAAATGGATAACTGTATAAAATAATAGCTATCATGGGCTCAGCCCTTTGCATGTATTATCTCACATAATCCTCATGAAAATACTATAATGCACCACTTAATACCCTACTTCACAAAGAAGGAAAATGAGGTTCAGAGACATTAGACAACTTTTCCAAAGTCCCATTAGTACTATCGTGTTTCCCCGAAAATAAGACATCCTCCGAAAATAAGACCTACTTGCAGGTTTTCTTCTGAGTAAAATATAAGGCATCCCCCCGAAAATAGGCTCCTCCTAGGCTAAACATGAGAGATTTGGTCCACTGATTCTGAAAGAAATGGAGTCACAAGAAATTCACCAGGAAATTCAGGAATTGGATTGTTATGATGATGTTCCAGGAGATGATGACATGATTGTCATTGCATAAATGAGTAAATTCTTGATACTGTAGGATTCACAGTTTGTCTGGTTTGTGTTGACAACTACCGTATTACCGTACCGTATACAGGTAATAAATTTCCTTTATTTTTATTTAACAGTAAATGTGTACCATATTCTTCTTCATGGAAAAATAAAACATCCCCTGAAAATAAGACCTAGCGCATCTTTGAGAGCAAAAATTAATATAAGACACTGTCTTATTTTCGGGGAAACAGGGTAGGTTGTAGAGCTGGGCTCTTTCCTGGATGGTAAGCTGTCACTGTGCCTGATGTTGTGGACTTGCTATTAAGATGACCTTAATTCAGCCTACTCTGTCAGCCCAGGACTCTATAATCCTAAGGCAATAGGGGAAATGATGTAAAGCAGTCACTGGTGTAAGAAACATGTATGAACGGCTTCATTTCCTGCCTTTTTGCCATGGTGGTTCCTGCCCAAATCTGCAGCCCTCACTCGGCCTCTTTGGGGACTGAAGCCCTGAGAAGCCCACACAGGCTCCTCCACCTCTCCAGTTGCATTAATTTCCTTCTGGCAGAATGATCGAATGGAAACATAGTTCACAAATCAGCACTGTGCCTGTCACATGAGAGATGTTGAAATAAATGTTGGTTTTCTAAAGCAAATCCAATTTGGAAAAATATTCACCCTACATAACATTCCAGGACTAAGCAGTCACCACCTCATTACTCATGCTACTGAGTGCTCATAAATAATGGATTGCAAAAAAATTGACAACTGTGGATTTGGGGAACTTGTCCAAGACTGTGCCGATAATAAAGATGACCAGTGTATTGGAAGGGAGAACAGAACTGAAACAATGCCTGGTGGTAATGAGAAGAGTCCTGTATACACTTGTTATGCAGTAAGAAGGTGATGAATGATTTATTTCATCTCCACTGTGGGGGAAAAGGGACTCTGCAGAGAAACTGTAATACAAAACAATGTTGGTCAGATATAAGAAGAATTTTTTATTAAGAAAAGTTACTTAAAACTGCCATCGAATGATGTTAACAATAAAACCTTCTTTCATGAATGACACATGTGCATCCCTATTGCTCAAAGGATGTTAACTGTCATGGCCCAGAGGCAAGTGACTTCCATTTATGCTCCGTAAGGTTTCTTCCATCTCTGTGAATCAAGAACACATGAAACATCCTCTTAAGATTACCTAAAAGGCTTTGATAGACTCCACTACCTCCTCAGAGTTTCCCCAACCACCTGTTCACCGCTGAACCCTCACACCTTGTAGCTGAATGTAGCATAAGCTACAGGCTGCAGAAAGTAATGGAACAGGTCTCTGCCTTGACAGATTATGCATATTATTCTGTCAGATGAATGTGGAATGCCTTTCAACCATGAAGGGAGCAGGAATCTGAAAGATCAAACTAAACCTGAATTAAAACCTCGGTGCATGAAGCCATTTAAAAGGTCAGTGTGTGTGCTCCCCACAGGTATGCAAATATTCCACAGGGTATCCAGTTGGCATCAATCAGCTGTTTGATTTCTTTTAATAAGACCTTTATATTGGATTCTGTTGTACCCAGTTCAGTGGTGCCGTATCACCACCCAGCAACAGATTGGAGAAAAAGCCAATCTCTGTGCTAAATTGTTAGAGAGGGAAGTGAACAATGGTTTGTAACTTTAAGTCTGTAATCTCCATGGAGTACAAAGCCAGGTTTTATGAGGAAGCCACTATGTTAGGGGGATCAGGAGAATCTTTAGGCATGTGTGTGTGAATGAGTAACTTTCAGCATTAGATGAGTAGGTAGAGATAGACAGTCCGTTCACAGGTAATGCTGCAGACTTAACCAGGAAGCCTGCATTCTCGTGTTTGATTGTGTCATTGCTAGTCATCATAAAGTGTACCTCTCCAGGACCCACAGTCACGTGTATGGGAATGAGATGATAGAAGTGAGGCAGTTCACATATGAATTTGGTCTTTCATGCTTTGTCACTCTTTTCAGTAAAGATATCAAGCAATTGAGGCACACTGATTAAATAATTTGGTTTAGTTCCATATACAGCTATTTACTGATTATTTATAAAGTGTGTGTTAGGGCCTGTGCTGGGTGCTGTAGCCATAAAGATGAGTAATATTTGAGCTTTGACCTCCAGTGGCCAATGATCCAGAAAAAGAGACCTACGCAGAATAAGTAGATAGAAAGCAATGTTCCCCGGGCAATCTTTTGCAGAAGGGGGACTATTTGCTTCTCAGGGAGAGAAGGCACTGAGATGGCTGCACCGACTTTGGAAAAATGATGAGGAGTTTGTGAAAAGCAGGAAAAAAAATGAGTATCCCCTACATGGAGGCTAGTTTCCTTGGCCATTCTGCAGAGTTTAAAGTTGAAATTTGTGACTGTCCAATCTGGCGTTTGACATAGATCTCACAGAACCTGAGCAGACCTCTGAGGAAGCAGGTGTTTAAGCCGAGCAGGGATCTTGAGGGCCCCTGGTGGGGAGACCTTGAGAGCCTCAGCCACTGTTGCTCTGCCTCTCACAGTATCTGTCTTTCTGACGAAAACTATAGAAATGCTTTCTGTGATTGTCATTTGGGTCTGGCTTTGGGATGTGACACACAGGTCAGGGGTAGGCTTTGCTGAGGGCCTTCACCTTGCCACAGCCACCAGTGAGGGGCCATAACTCTTGACATCACTATTGTACAACCTGGATCTCCTGCACTGCTGCTACCACACACTGATACCAGCTTCTGGAGAAGGGCATAGGAAGCAAGAGCCGCTCTGGGCATTCGAGCTCACACACATCAGTGTGGTCAGTGGTGGCTTTGAAGGGAACACCTACACAGCAACTAGCTTATGGTGGAGGCAATAGCAGTGGTGGGGAGGGGGGATGTACAAAGCAGATTTACCTCTCAAGGCGAACAACAGCTATAAAACCCATGCAGCTATGGAAGAGGTGTGGACTATCAGGGAGCATCATAATGAGCAACTATATTACTTTAAAGTTTGTCAAAGTCAGCAAAATGGATAGTGACCAGATATTGGGAAAACGAAGTTCCAGATAGTGGGAAAACGAAGTTCATTCTTTCCAAAGGAATAATTAGACCAAGGCAGTTTATCAAAGAAAGACAGCTGTGGAATTTCAGAACTGAGTTCCCCTGTAGAGGTAAAGCGACCTGGTGATGTCAGAAAGTCCCACAAGGATGATGCCCTGACTGCTCTGCAGAAAGATTTGATGAAAAAAGCTTATCCCACCAAAAAAAACCTTGGCTTTTCTCTGGCATTGTCTGATTGCCTTTGCTGGGGGCTAGGTTTTATTCATAAAAAGTGTTCCATGCTCTGTAGCTACTGCTGAGTGAGTGTCTGCCACTGTAATAAGGACCAGGAGGCAGAGGAGGCTGGCTCTCACTTCAGGCAGCTCTGCGGGCTGCGTCCACCAGGATCTTCCCTGCCTGTCCTCCACCTCCAATAATCCGGGCCCAGAGGAAATCGACCTCTGATGACTGGCTGCTGGATAGAGCCAGAGGTGGTCTATTTCATCAGCTTCTTCCTGAGAACAGCTGTTTTGCAGCCGGGTCCCTGTAAGTTGGTGCCAAGCCATTTTGCATTTAGAGCATCTCGATTAAAAAGTGGAAGGACAAGTCAGAGGAGAGTGTGTGTGTGTGTGTGTGTGGTGGAGAGATGAGAATGATTTGCTTTCCAACACTAACTTAAAATCCAGTAACCACCAGCAATGTGTCAGTAAACTTTGCCACTTTGCCGTCTATGACCTGCATCTGCCCATCACTCCATTTCTTGACCAAGCACCTACAGACTAATGAGGTGATAGCTCTCCGTCTTTATCCTGTTTCTGTTTGTCTCGTCTGGCTTTCACACTTCCGTATTTATCTATCCCTGCTATCCATCACGTGCAGAGTAAGGTGTCTGTAATTTGCTCACAGATAAGGCTGCCTCAGCTTCCCATCGCTGAGCGTGGAGTGCTGTGCCAGAGGGCTTCCATCAGGCTCTGGAAAGGGAGGCACTTTCGGAGGCATTAAGCTCCAGGGCTGTCTCAGAAGTGCAGAGCGCTACAAGTGTGATGCACTGGGCTCCTCCTTAGTGGCGCGAGGGGAAGGGGTCGCCCCGCATGACGCCTTACTTAGCACAAAGGGGGCTCATTGCTTTCCCTCCCTGGGGAGTGCTTTCCCTTTGTCACTGGCATTAGTAACTTTTTGATCCATCCTAGGAAATGATTATATTATACCGTTTTAGGGACTGTGCCAGAACGCACCCTAAAGTGGACGCATTTGACCAAGGGGCAGTGAAATGGCTGTGTTTCTGTGGCTCATGCAGTCATACTAGCAGTTCAGGCACACTGTCCTTGCTAGGAAGGAATGATGCCAGCGACAGTGCGGCGGCCACACAAGATGTTTTAACATAATTGGAGATATGTGACTGTGGACTGCATAGTAAATGATGTTAAGAAATTGTTGCCTGTCTTGATATGTATGCTAATAGGTAACAAAAGAAAAAGAAATCCTCATCAATTGAGCAGTATTCCTCAACCTGAGCCCTATTAACTCTGGACCAGACAATTGTTTGTAGTGGAGCTACTCTGTGCATTTAGGGATACTTAATAGCATTGTTGGCCTCTATCCACTAGAGGCCAATAGCACCCTTCCCCTCCATCCCCGCCCCCCCCCCCCCCCCACACACACACACAGCCAAATTATGATAACCAGTTGGTAAATGTCCCCTGATTAAGAATCACTAAGTTAGAGAATCATGTATTGATGAGTAAAGTGACATCATGTCTAGGATTTGCTTTTAAATACCCTAGCCAAAAAGTAAAAGTTGTGGTGGATACAGGAAACTTGATTAGCATAATTTTTATTTTTATTGAAGCTGGATGATGAGTATATAGGGATTCATAATACCATTCTCTACACACTGTTGAACTACAGTGAAGTAAAAGGAGTAAACATTGGGCTTTGTCTTCTGGAATGTAGAGAAATAGAAGTGAGGGGAGGTGGGAGGAAGACAGGGAGAGAAAAGAAGAACTCCGACTCCTGAGATGTGCAGGAGGGGACAGAATTTACAGAGAGGGAAGCTACCGAAGTTAAATTGGAAAGCTGGAAAATTTCTCAGCTATTTCAATTTCTGACTAACAAGTCCATTCCACACCATAGAGAGAGTCGCAGAACTGAGTTAATGGAAGACAGTTGCTAGGCAGGAATATAACATAAGTATAAAACACATTCTTTGCTAGTGTGAGGCTCATAATGTATTGGGAGGGGAAAAACTTACAAACCTGAGAGAACCAATCAGAGCACAATTAATGCCATTAGCTCCACATGGGGTGTAGCTGCTGCAGAGGAGTTGCTATTAGCAGGATGAGAAAGCAAAGCAGCTGAGATGGAAGCTGGTCTTCACAGAGAAGAGATTTCAACTGAACCTCAAAGATGAATATCCTATCATCTAAGACTTTTCTCATAAGAAAAAAAAACAAGAGCAAAAGTACTCAATAAATATTTCAGTGCCAGCTTTATGGCAGACAGTGTTGAGGTTGATATGTGTAAAGGTGTGTAAGCTAGAACCCTCACCTAGTATGAAATCAGAAATATGTACAGAATCTTGATCAAACGTGTGGAGACCAGAATGACTGGAAATGCCAATTTGTACTCCAGAAAAACAGAACTGATAGGATGTGTTTCTATATCTGGATATAAATGTCTAGGTCTATATCTAGAGAGACAGGAAGGGGAGGAATGGAGGAAGACAGGAAGGAAAAGGAGGGGGGAAAGGAGGCAGGTAGACAGGTGGATGGATAGATAGACAGACAGACAGATAGAGATTTTAAGGAATTTTCTCATGTGATTGTGGAGACTGGCAAGTCTGCAATTTGCAAGAAAAGACTGGAGACCTGGGAAAGAACTCATGTTGCAGTCCTGAGTCCAAAGGCAGAATTCAGAGGCAGATGTGCTTTTTCCTCAAGAGACTTCAGGCTTTGCTCTTACTGCCTGCAATGGCTTGAATGAAACCCACCCACATTATGGAAGGATCTGCTTTATTCAAAGTCTACTGATTTAAAAGTTAATCCTATCTAATAAACACCTTCACAGAGTCATCTAGACTGATGTTTGAACAAATGTCTGGGTACTGTGGCCTAGCCAAGTTGACACATAAAATTAACCATCACAGGATGGGGTATATAGGAGATTAATCGTTAGGTGGCAGGAAAGCCAGATGAGGACGATTCTTGAGAAACCAACAGGATGCTTTAGGAAGACCAGTGTAGGTCTGCATCTAATAGCCTGGAGACAATACCACCCAGTTATCTTCACCCCACAGCAACCAAAGGCAATACCTTCACATCACTCCTCGGTTGCTATGTGGTCGGCACGTCTAGCCCAGGAAACCACTTCTGCAGTCTGGTGTTCGTATCTGTGTGCCTTGCTCTAATCTGAGAAGCAAGAAGCTCAGGTTTTTCCCTTCCTTGTACAAGGCACGCCCACAAGCTATTTTGCATTTTGAAAAGCCTGACTGACTAGGAAGGAAATTTAGCTTTCAGTTTTGAAGTTCTTTAAAGCAATACCTATTCTCTGTTTCAGGTCGAAATAAGTAATGGCATCAACTCTGAAATGTCGGCTGCTGAACTTGACTTAGGAAGCAAAGCATCATTGACAGCTCCTCTCTGCATCAACATGTCTCACTTTCTCCCAGAGGATGGACTGTGCCTCCCGCTTTCCCACAGATCATGGAGTTCTTCGGTCACAGCCTGTGTGTTATTAGCATTGTGCACTAGATGAGTTGTAGGTGCTTGGGTGGGTATTTTTTAGTCATTTTCTTCTTACATGAATACTTGTAAATTGTTTTTTAAAAAATGGTTTTAAAATTTTTAACGGAATTTAACATGAGGCATGCAAAATGGAAAGAAAAAAAATGCTGTGAAAACCTACAGACAGTTCCATGAGAAACATTGGTTTGTATTGTTGAGGTGGTGAGTCAGGACTGCTGATGGCTGCACTTACCCTAGACCTGACGGAGTTTACACTAGCAGACATTACTTGGAGTTACTACTAATAGACAGAAAGTAAGATGCTGTGATAAATGGGTACAATAGTGGACCTGGCTTTCACAATGAGTATGGACCATTTTTTTCAACACCACGAGTCAAAACATGGAGTCTCCTTTGTTCTCGACTTCCAAAGCCCAGGATAATATTATGGCAATCTAAATGTTCAGATTCTTGCAGAATATCTTGCTCTTCCTGTGTTCTGAAAAAATATAAATCAGGGGGGTATGAAAGAGTGAAATTAAAGCAAAACACCTCTCCCCTTGGGAGGAATGTGGGTGTGTATGAGGGCTATATTTTCTACTCTTTATCCAAGTCCTGACACTGATGTCACACCTAAACCCACATCTAGTGGGTGGAGGCCAAACGTTTTGTGGGCAAGTGGCACAAAAATCACAACCAGAAATATTGCTCTGAAGATATTCCAAAGGGGCATTGAAATGGTGGGGAATTGCCTTTAGTGCTTCTAAAGAAGATACTTGTATTTGTTCTGCATCAACTTTTCTTTCTCCTACCCTTTCCTAATAACTAAGAAATTAGTATCAGAAACATAATTTTCCATGGGAAAGATGTCTTAAAAAAACACCACAATTTTTTCTAATCATATCTTTCAATTACTAGTTCCCATGTCAAAATAAGTTTTGCTCACTCTGTATAAAAACCAATATGAGGCCTCCTATAGACCCCAAAATGGGGTATATGTGTACTATTTAATCCAGCAGTTGTTAACCTGGTCCATGCATCCCTTATAAGTCAGCCTATAAACTTTCTAAAATTATACACCAATTTTTTTGTTGTAGAGGTTCCTTTTTTCTTCTTCTTTGTGAAGTGCATATATTTTATGAGACTTCATCGGACACCTACTGAATCCCATCACTTTTCATTTCTACTGAATAAACTCAAATTCAAAATGAAGAAGAGCTAGCAGGGACCTGAGAGGTGGTCATATCCAAGTCATCATTGTGCAGTGGAGGAAGCTGAGGCCTAGAAGACCTTGGGGACTTGCCCAGAGCTCTGACAGAGGAGCCAGAGCTATGGCCAAAGGCAGGAGAACCTGGGAGGCACAAGGTGAGGTTTGGCCTAAGAGAATGTTGGCCATCTCAGCCCTGCAGTTTTTCTCATCTATAAAGTGAAACTATAAGGCCTACCTCCCAAGGGTGAGGTAAGAGTTCAATGAAAATCTGAAAATACTCTGTAAACAGTGAAGCACTCCAGAACTGAGAGGCAGGCATTATTGTAATGACATAACAATAAGTTGGGCCCTCTCTGGAGCTCTTTATTACCCAAGTGCAAATCCCACGGAAACACCAAGCTCTTGTACGTTTTCTAAAAAGTAGCCTGAAAAAAATCACCCATGTTTAAGTGATTAGTAATAATGCAGACTACAAATTGCATGTATTCATTAAAAAATAACTTTGATATTAAAATTCCAAGACTAGTACATATTATTATTATGGAAAAAAAGCTAACAGAACATCAAAAACGTAGAAAATCAGTCAAAGGAATAAAATAAGTATTAAACATCTTAAACTGTCATTCTACCCTGTTTCCCCGAAAATAAGACAGTGTCTTATATTAATTTTTTTCTCCCAAAGTTGCGCTAGGTCTTATTTTCAGGGGATGTCTTATCTTTCCATGCACTAAGTCTTATTTTCAGAGGATGTCTTATTTTCGGGGAAACACTGTATTATGCCCCACACGCACAAACAAAACCTAGTCAACATTCCACAGAATAGTACCATGTCACTGTTGTTGCTGTCTTATCTCCATGTAAGCTTGACAGTCTTCTACCATGCACAGCAGAGACCTGTGTCTAACTGCCGGTCACTGGTTTGAGGAGGAATCCTTTATATTAGTGAGTCTTCTATGGAAATTCAACACAGGCAACTACTTATTATGGTATGTGTGTTTGGGTTTTTAATCTTTCTTCATTTAAATAATGAAACAGTTAAGTTATAACTGTTTGTTTTTTTTTCAAATGGCAATTTCAGGACTCCATAATGATATTCTGAAGTTCCAGAATATTTGCCATTCATCAGAAACAAGTTAGATAGACCTTGCACTTCCTCTCTTGCCCACTTTTCTCCTCCACACCTCTCCTCTTCTGAGCTACTCTTTAGAGGCCCTGCTCACTTAAGAAAAGGGGAAGAAAAGAGTGTAGAGCTCTGTGGTCGCCGTGGGCAGTCCCCAGGATCGGGGTGATTCTGACCCAGGACTATCACTTGTCACATGGTGCTTCTTAAGAGAGAGTGTTTCCAGTTCTTGCAGCTTTGCCTCTGTTTTAAGGAATCCACCCTGCACTGTGCATCGTGCAGTAGGGCTTTCAACAAAGACACATTCCGAATATCCACTTTCTCACCAAATCGTGGCTTCTTCATCCGGAAGTGTGTGTGTGTGTGGGTGGGTGTGTGTGCGTGTGTGATCAGGGGAAGAGAGTATGAACTATCTGTGCTCATTTGACAGAACCTCTCGCAGCATCCTGAGATGGTGTAGGTCCAGGTTCAAGAGCTTCCTCGCAAGTGGTTCTGGTAAAGCTGAAGACAGGACCTCCACTGCCCATGAGCCCCTAGGGCTGACTGGTGTGCAGAAGGGGAAAGTTAAAACCAATGTTGTTTTCCTCTTTGAACGGCCTTGGCAGTGTGCCTTGTAAACCTTGGCAGACTCTACCCCAGGCTGTTTTCTATCTTGTGTCAATCATGTAGCCTTTCTTAAGTGTCTCCTGCTAACACTGTGTGGAGTCACAGGCAGCTGGGAAGCTCTGCAGTTTACCTTATGTCTATTCCAGCTTCCACTCATGTTTCAAAGCAGCAGAAGTTAAGCGGGGGGGGGGGGGGGGGTTACAAGGGGCTGAGAGGTGGCTAGAGAATTCCCAGGGGATATGGGGTGTCTTACAGTCTACAGCAGAGAAACCTCAAACATCTCTTTTAGGAAAAGCTCTAAGCCAGCATGCCCCCAAGGGTTTTAGCTTCGCACCTACCATATAACATGAATGTATGTGTCCCTGAAACAAAAGCATATGCTCATCCAACTCCAAATCTGAGAGGTTGTTGGCTCACTTGTTTTGAAGATAACCTGACATCTTGCCCTAGCAAAATACTGACTTATTTTTTTCCTTCAGAAAGATAAGCCCTGCTATTTCCTGAAGAAGGGAGGCAGCCAGCTTCCAGAGGCTGGATTTAGCAAAATATAGCAAGGCTGCCATCTGTCTCACTTAATGAATGGGACACTCATGATTGAGAGGAATTTGTCTTCATTAGAACCAGCTAAAATGTATGTCGCAAGAGCTGAGGAAAACTGTCATGACTCTGCTCCATTGGGAATCAAATAAAAACCAAAATTGCTCTTTTCAATCTTTGCAAATTAGAAAGGAATCTTGCCAAGAATAAACACATCTCCATTTCAGACCTAATTTAGAATTTATAGTATCCCAAAATATGGACTCACTATGAAATGAATATTCTGGCTAATTATTTCTTAAAGCAAACACTCGCTTATCATTTCTGAAGTACTTAAGTGTATAAGTAGGAGAACTCTGACAGTTTATTAGAATTCAAATGTTCTGACTTGCCATTTTGGCCCAAGGTAGTAACTGTTCTCAAGGAATCATTGAATTAAGTAGGAAAAATCCAAATAATTTATCTCTTTAAACTTAGAAACCTTGAATATCTGTGTTATTTGTTTGTTTTTATTTCCTTCCCATTAAAGGTCATCTGTATCTTTGCTAGATAGAAGGTCTGGGGAAGCGTCCATAAACCCTGTTCCCTATAAATAGGCCTACAACGTAAGGGTGTTATGCCCAATGAAGGAAAGTACTGCTTGTGTAACTTCACAATCAATGTGCAATGAAGAAGGGGAGTGGACCCATTTTAAATATTAAGAGGACTCTCCAAAAAACAGAATTCTCAAAAATTTTAGTTTGTGAATTGCTTCTCTCTTCATGTCTTTATTGTGGGCGAAGGGGAAAAAAATGTCATTTCTATTAGATGGAAAAAGCTTCTTAAATGTTGATATTTGTAGAAGAAATTGGTGTCAGGTAAAAAATGAATCATCTTCCTGGACTCTGTGAAATGAGAATTTCTACCTCATCTTTCTACCTTTCTTCTTAGAAAGAAAGAAAAAAATCATAACCCAAGGTCCTTCTTTATTTCTATAATTCTGCAGGGCATGTGTTAGCTTTTCTTTCTGAAAAATGAGTTTTAAATTCAAGAACCAATCAAATGGATTACTTGGTTCTCACTGTTCTTTACAAAAATAAATTAATTCTTCTATGGTCATAACTCTTTCACTTTTTTATTTTGGCTGCACCTTTTTTCTGAAATGATGTGTCATTATTTTCTTTTTACTCAATTCAACAAATATGGAATGAACACCAGTGTTTAGGAAGGTGAGACAGGACAGATCACTGCAAAGTATGGGAGCCTTCCTTTCTGTATTAATATTTTATCTCAGTAAAAGTTGGACCTGTGTTTCCCTTCATCTGTTTTTCTTCAAGAACATTATATAGGTTAGAGTGGAATGAGTACTATTGATAGTCTGCTTCTCTAAAAGAAAAATTCAATTGAAGGAAATCATAGAATTTTTTTTGTAATCAGATTTTATTGTACATTTCCCTAGGTTGTCTGTGTGTGTGTGTATGTGTGTGTCAGAGAGACAGAGACAGACAGACACAGAGAAATCTTGAAATCTTCCAGGTACTACTTATTAAAAATATCCCATGAAGTGATTTCAATCACTGAAAAGTTTTGACTACATTCTCCTAATGCCTTGGGCCTGCAAATCTGGCAGCTGTCACTGATGT